AATAAGTTCTGCTTTATATAAATACAAAATAGGCATGCTAATAACAGGGCGCAGTAGGTACCATGAGAATTCCGATAGATTGTTGGAAGAGATGATTTCGAAAATATAGGTTGTCAATCAGAATTTCAAGCATCTTTCAAAAAATCAACTAGTAATTATTTGTGTGCACGATTTTCAAAAGAAATATGGAGATGACAAACAGTAACCTTAAAAGTCTATTGAAACAATACATATAGGGACCAAAAAAAAAACAAGGACCTCTAAAATATCAGAGGTTAGTGGGATGTGTCCTAATGAGATTAAAAAAAAATGTTTTCAAATATCATTCTATTTATAATGTTTCAATGCATCTTTTCACCGCAGGATTTTTTGATATTCAAATTATTTGAATTTTTATTTTGAAAAAACGCTTTTCCCCATAGACTTCAATGCAATTTTTGTTAATTAACTACTGCTTAATTAATGAAATTTTTGAAAATTTCTCGTGGGCAATCCTTTTCCTCTATAAAATGCTTTAATATAATTATATTGTGTACCTGCCAACGGATTATACCCGCAATGAGCTCCTTGTCATGATCGAGAAAAACGGAAAATCCTAAGACAATTCAATGTGTGAAAAATGTTATATAAATTACTATGAAAACATCACTCCTCATTCAAGGTAATGATAGATTGTTGATATCCTTGATTTATCAACTTGTTTGTCAATAGCTTGCCTTGATTGTTTGTACGTTGAGCATACTCTTGCATATCAACTCAACTAGGAGTCATAAAACCTTATATACAGGTAATAAGAAATGAGCTACAAAAACAAGGGAAGATTAAGATTTAAAAAAAGGTGAGATGATCACGTTTGTCATAAAGTTTGGGAATCAAAATAATTTTGCAAATGACCAATGGCACTTTTATTTTAAATAAAAAGCTGTTTATGATGACAAAAAGCCTGTACTTTAATTTGTCAATAAAAACTTGTTTTCATTACTATACTATTTTTTGTACATATCTCATCCATTGCAATAAAATATACAAATATTTATGAAAATGTTTTTATGATAAATTGACAGTTTTCTGTACATGTTTTGCCGATTTTTACCCGCCACTGGACCTAATCCTTATTGTGGCTCTTCTCATAATCAGCATTTTAATAATAATCACTGTTTTTTATTATCAAGTTCATTTCGATGCACTTTTGCGTCAGAACTGGAAAAAATGAATATAATGGTAATATTTCTTTTTAGACCTAGTAATATTTATTTGTCCATTGACCAAGATATTGAAACTAATGAAGAGAAACTTTATTTTGCTCTGTCAGTTACAATTCTTTTTATCTTCAATAAGTCGACGGATTCGTCTTAATTAGACAACACCTAGTTTTAAAAATAATATTTTTTTTCAAATGATGCAATTCATCTGTTTATCTTAATATGTACTGTAATAAATGTGGATATACGTTGTGGATGTTCAACTGAAAATGGAACTTCCACCACCTTACGTTGTAAGAAATTCTGCATTAAAATATTTTTTTTGTGTGAAGTGGTGTAAAACAGATGTAGAAATATTTGCTGTGGTTTTGATTTGTATTATTTGAGTGGACTTTTGGGCTTGAATACTCTTCGTATCTCCATATTTCATTATAGGCACCTGATCCCACCTCAGATGTTTTGGAGGTCCTATTTTGTATTGTTTTATGGACTTTGATATTGAATACTGTTCATTATCTCCATATCCTCCATACAATATGCCAAGTAAAGCAAATTCTCGAATTCGAACTTCATAAATCAGTCGGTTATTAACAAGAAACATGTACTTTTGTTAGATCAGCAACCCATGTACGTAAACATATAGATAGAATTTAGTATCAACGACTCCTATATATTTAGAATTCACAATACACAATCACGATTAACAAGTTATACAGGAATGTATGTACATGTACTAGGTCAAAATTGATAAGTTATACAAGGAATTTATCACTATACATATAAGTCATCCCTGTTATTAGCCAATTCATTATGTATTCATGTATGAAGCAGGAACTTCTACATGAAAAGAAACCTTTCGCTGCTTATTTCAGCTCAACATTCAGATATATGAACAACTCTTAATCTAGAACGAGGTTTTTTACTATGTCGGTTCTAAATATCCCTTTGAATAAAAAATAAAAAATACCACGGAGTCCGACACATCTGTTTTATATTTGGATAATATACTATGGTATAGTTGAAAAAGACGTTAAAGAAAATTTAACAATGAAACATATGGAGATAAAGAAAAGTATTCAAAATCAAAAGTCCATAAAACAATACAAAATAGGATCAGAGCAAACACGGACCTCTAAAGCATCAGGTGCCATGGAAAAGTGAGCATCACCTGCCGACTTGTCACACCCGCCATGCGCTCCTTATCATGATCGGGCAATAACGGAAAAATTCGTCTTTAATCGTCACTTCAGTGTATAAATAATGGACTAAAAATTAGTATGAAAAATGGCAGTCAGCATTTGACTCAATGATAAATTTTATTTGCTGACAATGTCATTGCATCAACCATAGAACTTACGAAATGATGACTTTAAACGAGATTGCTGAAATTCTTGTTTCATCAACTTGTTTGGCAATAATTTACCTCGTTTTAGAAATTGTTCATACGTAAAGCATGCTCTTGCATATCGAATCAACCGAGATATATAAACTCCGTATGTAGGTGATTTTTTGCTGCATACATGTAAGTAGGGGAGGTTGACGATAGAAAAGTTAAAGTCATCACGCTTATCATTACCATTAACGTCTTTATCAAGTAAAATATCCAAATATGAAAAAGATGTGTCAGACTCTGTGGTATCTTTTACCTCAAGCTCACAAAGATATATCGTATCGACATAAGAATGGAAATTACCATTGTTAATTGACAATACGTCGTTGTCGATATATTTAATTGTTATACCCTTATAAATAGCTTTCTACATATTTATTACTAATAAAAAGTCCAACAAAAGAAACGTTTATTACAACAGTCCAACAATTTCACTATTGACCGGCCTGCCGGTCCAACATAAGAATTGTTAGACCGCAACGTCACAGCTACGTTACAAGTAATCATCGTTCAATATCGGCGACACGGAAATGGCCGAAGTTAAGAGCTGCAAGAGTTGTTGCTAATAGCAAGGTAAGGAAGAAGGGAAAAATATATTTTGTGATAAATAATTTTTGTGATATAATAAAAATAAAATTGATTTTGTTCTTTCTCAGCTTGATGTTTTAATATTTACTGATTAAGCCATAAGTTTCCTTATAAAGTAATTGATAATATAGCGTGTATTGATTAAAGCTTAAGTGAGCAGTGAAGGGTATAACAAAACAGTTATAGACTGGGATTCGGGCAACATATGATTTGTTGGACCTGAAGGTGAAAATGTTGCTCTTGGCCTGCGGCCTTGGGCAACATTTTCACCTTCAGGTCCAACAAAGCAGACCAAGGGCAACATTTTCACCTTCAGGTCCAACAAATCATATGTTGCGCTCATGCCCAGTCAATAACTGTATAATGTAGAGTAGAAGGCCACAGCAAGTGTTTTCTTCTTTTCACGCATAAGATTTTGCACAGATTCTGCTTCATATGAATGCAAAAATAGGTCTGCTAATAACGGGGCGCAATTAGTACCGATGGGTATTTCAAAAGATTGTTGAAAGACCTGGTCTCAAAAAACAACATAGATATTGTCAAGCAGAAACTCAAGTAACTGTTTGATGTCAGATTCAGAGTACTTGTGTGTGTAATCAGAATGTTTCTTAATAAAAATAATTTAGCAAATGACCAGTGACAAGGTAAGTAAATTTACGAGTTCCATTTTTTATTGAAAAAGCAGCTGTCAATGAAATCAAAAAGCCTGGACTTTAATTTTTTGTGGGGAATGGTGGAAAAGTCGTAAGTTTTTAAGCGCTTGATTTTGTTAATATCTTGTGATTTCAAATTGCCCAAAACTTCCTTGGAATTTTTAACCAAACTTTAACTTTTCAATCGTTAACTTCCCTTTCTGATGCAGCGATATACCTTCATCACCTGCACACGGGTTTTATATCTCTCAGTTGATTTTATACGCAAGAGCATGCCCTACGTATGAGCAATTTTTAAAACGAGGTAAGTTATTGACAAACAAGTTGCTGAAATAAGAATATCAACAGTTTTAAGTCATCATTTCGTAAGTTCTATGGTCGATACAATGAGCTTGTCAGCAAATACAATTTATAATTAAGTCAAATGCTGACTGACGTTTTTGATACTAATTGTTAGGCCATATTATATACACACTGAATTGTCGATGGTTTTATACGTTATTTCCCGATCTTGACAAGGAGCAAACGGAGGGTATGACCGGTCGACAGGAGTGTTCACTCCTTCATGGCACCTGATCCCACCTCTGTGCTTTCGAGGTCCGTGTATGCTCTACTACTATTTTGTATTGTTTAATGGACGTTTGATCTTGAATAATATTCGTTATCTCCATATATTTCATCTAATAAAATCAACTTAATGGTAAAGGTGATGACTTCATTTTTTTATGAAAAAAAACCTTATTTATTCAGAAAAATATCACTTGAGGTTTATAAGCTATGCAGTTTATAAAGTTTATGTCTCTCAGTTGAAACAATACGTAAGAGCATGATCCAAGTATATACAAATTGTAATACGAGGTAAGATAGTTACAAATAAGTTGACTTAACAAGGGTATTAAAAGCATCGTTTAGAGTCAATTTTTGGAAAATAATGACTTTGTCAGCAAATACAATGTACTATTAAGTCCGATTTTGACTGACTGTTTTCAGTCAAATTGTAAGACTAACAGGTAATACAATATTAAAGAATATATATTTGAAATATTTATTTGTTACTGAAAGTTTTGTGAGAACAGATCTGGCGACCTATTTAAACCGAAAGCATGAAACAACATGAAACAAATAGAACCACAAAAATAGAAACAATAGTCAATGTTAAATACCCACCGTTTAATCCAAGTTTTAAATAAATCTAAAGCCTCTATATGATCCTGGTCGTTGTCGAGTGTGCGCTTGTAAGGTGAAACTGAAGCAGCCGAACGTTTGAAGTAACCTGTATCCACGATTCCAATACAGCCTGCATATCGCTGAAAGTTATTCTGGAGTTCTTTATACATCACACCATTCATCTCCCTCAAAGCAAGAAGAACAGAGCGTAATGGATGACCTTAAAAAAGAAATTCAAAATTTAACAATAATAAAATCATGTACGGAAGAACGATCCTGTACATACATTTATGCTGTAAACAAAACAAATACGTTCATTACTCTAGGTACATTTCAAGATCATCTCATAATATTGTTAGTCCATTATTTATACACGGAATTGACGACGGATTTTTCCGTTATTTTCCGATCATGACAAGAAGCACACGGCGGGTGTAACCGATCAGCAGGGGATGCTTACTCCTCCATGGCACCTGATCCCACCTCTGATGTTTTGGAGGTCCGTGCTCCTAATTTGTATTGTTTTATGGACTTTTGATCTTGAATACTGTTTGTTATCTCCATACGAGGGGCGTTCAATAAATAATGTCATTAGCTCGATGACATACAACATAGAAGTCATATGACATTAAGCTTGACTTTCTTTCATTATTGAATCTTTAATGAATTGATAACTGTTGATGTGACCACTTTTCATCGCATTATTTCTTTGTGGGAAGCTGGAAAACAAGGGCTGTTCGAGATACTGCATTAAAAATGAATGGTCAAAAATCAAAAAACTAGAGTAAAATTAAACGCTTTGAAGCAGCTGTAAAACTTGTAATTATCCCAAAAATATATTAACTGAAATATAGGAAATTTTCAACAACCAATGGCTGTTTTATAGACACGTGAACAAGTAGATTTTAATAAAAAATAATTATATAATGGGCATCAGAAAAGGGTACCTTCCTTGGCAACAATAACTTACAACAACCAATGTAGATTTGCGAAAATTCAACAAATTATCATTGATTATGTTTCATTGACTTTAAGACACATAGCAAAATTGATAAAAATGATTTTGAGGGTAGTTCACACTGTTTTAAAGAAACATCTGATAGTAAAAAGGTTAAATGCTCAAAGGTCACCCTATATTTTGAAAAATGAGTGAAAACGACAACGTGTAGGAATATCTAAACAATTAATTTTAACAAAATCAAAAAAATGTACTTATCCACGTTTGTCTGAAATTCAAACAGATAATGAAACTTGAATCCATTTTGCTTTAAACCCTAATAACAAATTTACAGTGAGATGCACTTGACAAAACTGCAAAGGCCTAAGAAAAGCAAAGAATTGCAAGAGCACAGAAACAGTTTTATATGCTATTTTCTTAAATATTAGCGGTCTTGTTGTTCAAATTCATATTCAGGGAGGAAGTTCAATTTATGGAGGTGTCTAGAAAACAAATTTTTTGCAAAAATATTGAAAGGTTTTTGAAAGGAAAGAAACAGAATGACGAATTCAGTACATTAAATTTCTTCACAACAGCGTCCAAACCCACAGGCCATGAAGAGTAAAGGAGTTTTGGGGATAAACAGAAAGTTAATGTTTTGTCAAACCAGCAAAATTTGTCAGATCTTTCAACCTTTGACTTGTTTCATTTCCCAAACTTAGAAAAAACATCTATCAGAAAGTAAAAAAATAAGTACAGCAAATCATAGCTTCGCCATATTCAAGTATAAGAAGGGTCATACTAAAAAATGTGTTCTAAAAACAGTTAGAAATTCAATGAAAATGTTATGGACATGTGTTTCAATTAAAGGAGAATATTTTAGTTAAATTATTAGGACTTTATCGTAGAAAAGGGTTTTTTGTTTGTTTCCGAGCTCCAATGACATTATTTATTGAACACCCCTTGATATGTTTCATTAAAGCACAGATTTAGAAAAGATTTACTTTAAGTGAATAAAATAGCCTAATTTATGCTATTCTAAATAACAAAATAGAATACGTCAAACGCAAATTTGATGTAAATCATTAAAACTATAGATATCAGAGACATCTAAAGGCTAACCATTGAATATTTCATTTCCAGATTACCGAGCAGGTATAAGAAACTCTTAAAATGTGATCAAGTACTATCTGATGGTAATTGATCACATTTTAAGAGTTTCTTAGTAAATGCCCTTAGAGGCCTAATTTAAAACTAACACAATTTTTACTTTGAAGGTGAATTTTTACGAATAGTATATATCATCATTCTATTCGGTGCCAAATACAGCTGTTACCATCTTCTGCGTCTGGTTTATAGATATTTATTAAGGATGACACATTTCTTGCTTCCTAATGAAGACAAATAGTTTTTGTCACACTTGAGACATATTCCATCGACCAAGATGTGAACTAACTACTGAGGGGTTCTTTTAACAATGATTTTGTATCTCTAATGAAATGCAGGGGTATAAGACGTAGGGATATAAAGAAGGGAAGTAATAAATAATGGTTAGCTTGATTTGAACAAGACATACAACAAAATGACGTATTTTACATGTCTTGATACCTAGCCCTATCGTGAAAATTGACTGACGAAGTTTGTAAAGATTCTGTTGGAAATGCGTGTTTATGGGTATGAGTTCTTTTAACCTACGAAACTTTTAAATCACAAAAATGCATTTTTTATCAGTTGTCTTTCAGTATCATTAACACACTGAATTGTGATTGTGTATGGACTTTTTCCTATTGTCCGGTCATGACAAGAGCACAGCAGGTGTAACAAGTCCACAGGGGATGCTCACTCCTACATGACACCCGATCCCACCTCTGATGTTTTAGAGATCCGTGTTTCCTCTGCTTCTAGTTTGTATTTTCTCAAAGGATTTTCACCTTTATTTCTATTCGAAATATTTATATTTCATTGAAAGTACAAACTTTTTCGACCATGCATGTTATATTCCAAATCCAGCATAAAACTGTCTAGAGTTTAACCCCAAAAACATTTCCTCATTAAATTTTAATCTTCTGTGAAAGAATGACTGCACTTTAGGACATAAAAAGTTTGCGAAAAATTACTGGTAAATACTTTTTAAACGAGTTTTATCTTGTAATTACGTCCAATCTGCAACCATACGTTATACATTACATAAAGGTATGTATCTATCAAGTAACGTAACAGTCTGTACGTGTTTATATTATTTCAATGGCCGTTTGAGCTAAATTACTGTCGGTTATCTCAATATTTGAAAAACAGAAAGGACAAAAAACACCTAAAAACAAAATTAAAAAGGTAACAGAAGCGTACGAAAAGGACAAAAACTCTGCATTATGTGCAAATATAAACTGTAAACACGACACTGTTTCGAATGATATGGTGATAACACACATCTGTTTTGACTGCTATACTGTGAACACGCACCGGTTTTATAATGAAAACACGTACCTGTTGTGAGTAGTATGCGAATGAACCAGGATTGGTAAAAAAGCAGGAAATATTAATATTTTCCAGGACCTTTTTGACTGATTTGCTGATTACACGTACCTGTTTTGACTTATATGCTATTTACACGTACCTGTTTTGACTGATTTGTTGATAAAATGCACCTGTTTTGACTGACATGCTGATAACACGTACCTGTTTTGACTGATATGCTGATAACACGCACCTGTTTTGACTGAAATACTGATTACACGCACCTGTTTTGACTGATATGCTGATTACATGCACCTGTTTTGACAGATATGCTGATTACACCCACCTGTTTTGACTGATATACTGGTAACACGCACCTGTTTTGACTGATATGCTGATAACGCGTACCTGTTTTGACTGATATGCTAATAACACGCACCTGTTTTGACTGATATGCTGATTAAGCTGCGGAGTGGGTTCTCACCACAGGGATGAGCAGGACAAACGTGGCAGAGAGACAGATAGATTACAAACACTTTCACTATGTCTTTTTTCCTAACCATTCTTCTATACGTCTGAATTCCTAAAAAAATATGACATGCATCTCTTGAATAAATAGTTGAGAAATCAAATGCAACATTTCAAAACGAAAATTAAAACACAACATTGGACTTTTTTCCTTCAAAAATGAAAGAACTTGATTATTTTCCCATAGAATCGAACTCCTTATAGAAGTCTGATTTTAAAAGAACTTGAAAGATTTCATAATGTTTGTCATTATATCAATTGAAACTATAACAGGTTTTTTTTTATCGTGATGTAATTAAAAAGAACTTAATTCAATCTGCATTAGCCAAAAATATATAGAAAAGGGGTACACTTCTGCTATAGAAGAAGTTTAGACTGCGTTTTGGTTCTTAGGTTATTGAAGAAGAAATACCTACTTTGACATAATCATTCGCAAATTATTCTGTTCTACATATTCTGATTTACAGTCAAGTACTCTGAAGTTGACATTTAAAAGATGCTCGAATTTCTGATTGACAATATCTCTATGATTTTTTGAGACCAGGTCTTCCAACATTCGTGGGATAACAATTGCGTTCAGTGTTTAGCAGACCTATATTTGCATTCATATGAAGCAGAACTTATTCAAACTCTTATACATGAAAAGAAAAAAAAACTTACTACGCATTCAATATGACATTTAGATATATCGACGACGAATTATCGATTAACAAAAGTTATTTTCATTCATATGTCTACAAGATATATACAATCCCAGTGAGCTTGAAAAAAGATACCACAGATAACTTACTGGAAAATGACGGTAACATAACAACAACATTTGAGCCTGAATACTTTTCGTTACCTCCATATATACTCGTATGTCAAAATATCCATGTGATAACTGTTAACTTGAATTTTTTGTGTGTCTCGTAATATTTAAGAACTGAAACACGGGGAACCACTATTTAGTGAAATAAGTGAATCCGACTCTGATGAATTGAAACGTCTGGTCGTTTCTTTCGCAACATTAATGAAAATGAAAAAAAAAAACACTAATTATTTTCCTCGATTTCCATTACTTCTATAGGAATTATGACTTTCTGCGCTTTAAACAACCAGTTCTCACTTTAACGTACAAAATATGTTTTATATCATCTGAAACGGAAATGGTTGTTGTTTAGTTTCGTACAAACGTTAGACCTACGTTTTCTTTTCATTTCTTAAACACTAAAAAATATTAATTTTACGATCATACAAGTAGTATGAATCTGCCATCGTACTGAGACTGCATCGGGATAATACTAATTGAAATACAGGACCTTTGAGACCTCTCTGGTGACGGAGTTGTTAAACCTTAGCTTGTTTCTCCTCTTACACACGGTCATAAGACCTGAATAAGGCAGGCAGTTGCGGGGGATAGACAGTGAAGTGTTGTAGACTACCCAAAAGCGTAAGACCTGAATAAGGCAGTCATTTGGTAGTATAGATCGAGAGAGAGGAGGCAGGGCAAGAAGAAAATTACTTGCGGGAGACACCGTTGACCACAGTTAGTGGTTGTCCAATCAAGAAGAAACCCATTGTATTTGTACATATTTGATTATAATCGTATTGGTCAACAAAAATCTGAGTTAACAGGTTAACGAACCTAAGTGTAACGCCTCGGTGATACAAAACATATCACCACACACCCAAGCTCGGCCGCGTCGCACGTTACATTATTTGGTGGCAAGCGTCGGGATTTTGTTGACCATGGATTCGTCTAAGAAAGTGTCAGAAACTATAGAGCGAGTGGAGAAGATCTTAGAAAGGATGAGAACGCCAACCAGTGACGGTGGTCAGACAAATGCGGCAAGCCGAGAGTCTGGATATGCAACACACAGTACTGATAATACCGGTATGTCAGGAGATGTGTCATTTGACGAGTACGGCGCACGGCCTAAAGTTAGATTTCCAGACGAAGGCAAACCAAGCTACACGCCAAATGTTGGGGTTGACGACGTTGTTACGGGTCATCTATTCGACACGCCAAAACTACAGAGGCAGTCAACGGGGACAGACAATGCCAAGACAGGCCATATAATCAAGCCAGCCACATATGACGGAACCAGTTCCTGGCTTGACTACAAATCTCATTTTGAGGCCTGTGCAGTTGTTAATGGCTGGACAGAGGATAAGAAAGGTCTTTACTTAGCTTTATCACTGCGTGGCCAAGCACAGTCAGTGTTAGATGACTTGCCAAGCGATACTAGTAAGGACTATAAGACACTGGTCAGATCCCTTGAAGAGAGGTTCTCCCCTCCTAACCAAACAGATCTGTATCGTGTTCAGCTCAAGGAAAGAAGACAAAGAGCATCTGAGTCAATACCAGAGTTAGGTCAGGCCATTAGACGACTTACCAATCTGGCCTACGCATCAGCACCTGGTGATGTGCGAGAAAACCAAAGATGCATTCATAGATGCCTTGGTAGATTCAGCGATGAGGATCCGCATAAAACAATCTCGTCCTCAAAACCTGAATGAAGCCATCCGGCTAGCCGTCGAACTCGAGGCTTATAATCGTGCAGAGAACAAAAACCTGAGTTAACAGGTTAACGAACCTGAGTGTAACGTCTGGTGATACAAGCCATATCACCAAACACCAAGCTCGGCCGCGTTGCACGTTACACATCGACAACTTCTTTTTTGAGTCAATATATTTAAAGATTGACCTTCTCAACAAACTATATGTATAGCTCAGTGTAACCATATTTGTATTATATATAATGTTGCATAAATTTGAAGGTTGGTAATGACACCTCGGACACTGAAACGTGATCACGTTAGAAAATAAAAAAAAAAGAAATCAAAATTAAGCCAATGCATGACCAAAGGAGCAAAAATGTTTTGGGGACACGTACATATATCTATCATGTGTTCGGGTTTTGCATGTGATTAACATTTATAAGCCAAAGGTCCTTGTTATCGTTTTTCGTGAAATCTATAAATACTAGTATATAAAATCCAACTAGTTTCGAAAATGACTTGCCAAGTTGATGTTAAACATCATATAAATGAATTGTATGTCATTAAGATTAAAAAAATGAATTAATTAGAGAAAAGTTAAACAATTAAGTGAATATAATTTTATTTCAGTGTAGAAATTTTTTATTCAAATTCACATGCATTTTTCTGTGTTGGTCCGCATAAAATTGTACTGCAAAATCACATCTTTGGTAGAAAACAACCTACCGAGGGACACAATCAGCTGTGCAATACTTAAATCGAAACAAGAAAAAAAGACTAAAATTACGATTGTTGCAGATTCCAAAAAAGTGCAAATTATTTTTATCTGGAGAGTATCATTATCCTTTGTGCATCATTTGTGAATTAAGTTAGAAAAGAATGTAAAGGGGGAAATTCTCAATGTCACGGAGTCAATTTCTCGTTGAATCGTAAAAAAAACTCCAGAAACCAATACAATTCACTTGCATATGTAAGAAAAACTTACATGTCAAAGACTTGGAAAAGTGATATCTTCATGTCTTGAATAATTCAAGCAATCCCTTCTCCTATGTAGAAATTATTTGCCTTGCATGTCCTTTGAGCATCGTAAAATGACATAACATAGTTGAGGCTAACAAACATTCCAATTAAATTCCATAACAACACATGCATAGTGAGTGAATTGATAAAAATATGTAAATTTGGGCATGATGTTCACTTCAGTTTTTTTTCTGATAAATGATTTATTTTTAACGAAGCTTGCTTCAGCACGTAGTCCTTTGTCTTAGGAAAGAAGATGGGGGGATAAGACGGGCAAAGTGCCTATAATGCGACAGATAAGAAGTGAAAAATTAAATCCAAATTATATCTAAATTTTATTTGATATTTTATCTAATAATAAAGTATATTTAATGTAAAATTTCTATAATTTACAAAAATCTCACAAAGATTGAAAATATTTGCCTATGAAAAAGCATATACACACTAAAAAGAACAAAAACGATCATTTTCTCTTACTTAAACACAATTTTTCAATATGAGTGAGTCTTCACTCCAGTTTTTTTGAAAGATGATCCTAAAAGTTTGCAATATAATATGAAATTTTTGGTTGACAAAAACATGGAGCGAAGACCAAGTATACCTTAAAAGTACACTTTTATGACAAGACATTCGCATCTTTCCGAAAAATAATTTAAGTCCATTAAGTTAAGGGTCATACCACAAACATGATTTAAATGCTCAATATCAAAATGAGCCTGTAGCATAGTGGTTAGCGTGTTAGTCACAATGCAGGAAGATACGTCGGATTTTTTATTGCTTAGGGGGTTCGAATCCCACGAATACCATCTAATATTTTTATAAAAGAAATTTTTTTTTTACGATATTTTTTCTCTCAGAAAATGTATTTTTCTAATAATTTCATAAATTTCAATAATGAGAAGTTAATTTAAATACTCAATTCACATATTGAATATGATTTCTTAATATCTGACGCTATAGGCATTCGGCCCGCCTTGTTCCCCATCTTCTTTGACAAATACAGAAGTCTAGTTTTTTCCCTTTTCTCTCTGTCTTTCTTTGTCTGTCTGTCTGTCCTCCTCTCTCTCCTGTCTTTGTATGATTGTATATTATTACATTGATCTGACAAGACATTCGACTTAAAAGAAAAGTAAATTCAACAGAAAATCAGCTGTGACTTTCTGAATGCCCGCTGGCATTTGTTCAATTTTTGTTATCAGTTGATACCTTGCGAGACAAATGTTTCCCTGTGCATACTTAAGCATTTAACTCTTAACCAGTGAAAAGATGATTATATTGAACAGTGAACGATCTTTTAAAAATTTAAAAACAATGTTTAAAAAATGTAAAGGGGCTATAAAAATTCTATTTAAGAATATTAAAACAAGTCCACTTATAAAAGAGAACAATAAGTACCCATCAAAACTTCAATAAGGAATTTAGATATCTTTTTAATTTCAACTTCAGAATATTTTTGTGTAAAATCAGAGTGACTTTTAAAGAGGTCATTTTGTTCATGACCACTATTTTGGAGTTCATTTTTTAAAGGAGCAGTGTTACAACGCACTTTGA